GACTCGTTTATTTCAATCCAATCTCAATCCGAATCAAAATTCGAATTAATTTTCGAGCGATTTAACGAATTTCGAGCTATATTCTTTAAATTCACAGACATAAGCTATTAACGATCCGATTTCGAACAGAGCTGGGTTTGGCTCAAAATTGGCAAAAAAAATTTTTGATCCAAAATTTTAGTTTGTAGCTAGGCTCGTTTATTTTGATCCAATCTCAATCCGAGCCAAAATTGAAATCAATCTTCGAGCTATTAACAATCATCGAGCTAAATTCACAGCCCTAGTTACTAACCAGAACGATAGTAAGTAGGACAGATCCAAATGGTTACAAAAGGTTTTATGCAGAATGAAAGCAGACAAAAACATAATAGCAAAATAAAACAAACCAGTAACTTGCAAAGTGATAAGAAAAAATTCCACCAAAAGGCAAATGAAGAGAGAAATGTTGTCTTTACATTGGTTTTTTAGATACATAAAAGCAGCCATTCCAAGAAAAAAACAAAGTTAAAATAATCAAATAAACTAGAAAAATAAATGTCCAAAGTAATGAATGTGAATTTCTTACTAGGATTTGAAGCATACCTCTCCAATTAAATCATCGTGTACATCACCAACAACTTCCAGAGATTCCAGCACAGTCCCGGTAGAACCTCCTATTAGTAGGACCTAAATAATTCACAAAGAAGATTAAAGCGCTGATTTTCTTTATAAAAGGCATATAGCAACAATCTGAATTTCGAACACAAAATGTAAGAGAAAAAAGACTAAAGTACTTCACAGAATTAGAAAGAAGTTAAAAAGCATGACATCTCAATATAGAGTTATGCAAACAAGCAACACCAAACTGTGTAGTGTACAATTTAGCAAGGCTACCACCGCAGAAATGTCAATCACAATTCACATGTTACAATGAATGCTTAACGATATATGTTCCTCTTTCAACCATGAATTCTTGCAACTGCTTATTCTTCCTGATTTAGCATGCCCATTTTTTTGAGAAATTTAGCAGATATTTCAATGCTGTCATATAGCATAAAACGAACCACCACCGTTCCTACGCAACAACAGAAAAAGAATGCAACATAATTCTCTTGGCAATCTATATTTCACAGTTTGTGCAGCTCTCAGGAGTTGCAATGCAAAGTCAACAAAAGGTTGCCACCCTGAGGATTCATCACTTAAGAAGAGGCAGAAAATTACTGTATCTTCAGTATGATCAACATAGCGGTAAGCATGGAGGGAGTTAGTTTGATCATCAGAATGATTTTACTGTTAAATTAAGGTAGAGAAAAGAAAGAATGACACGAGCCAACTTGGGGGCTTGGAATTTTCAAAACGGAAATAGATGGTCGAACGATGAAATTCAAAATTACTATTTCTAACACTATCATTAACTATTCAATCGAATCTTCCAAAAAATTGAAAGACCCACTAACAAAAGAATTTTAAATTAACTAAAAATAAATAATTAAAAAATAAATTTATCTATCTCTATATTGATCATATCTACTATACACATTGCCCCATCTTTCACTCAGTTTCTATCTCAAAACTTCAACATGAAAAAATTAGTTTAAAATTATCATGAGCTATAATCCTCTCAGTGAATACTCATGCTTCTATAATACAATAATATAACAAGAAAAAAAA